AGTTCAACTCACAAGTCTTAAAGCTGCCAAGTTTGAAAACCTCTGATTTAAATAAACAAACTGTTTCTACAATGGGATGATTCCTATCCAAAGATTCCAGGCTGATCGGAAAGGCTGAGTTTTGCACACTAGATCTAATTCTCCTACTCCACCCACCAAGAAAAAAGTAGCCCAACATGTTGTCCAAAGACAGCACCTCTCCCTCCCACTCAGTTTTCATCAATCTGGTTGTCCAAAAGAGTATTTTTCATTCTGATGTGAAAAGAGATTCCCGGAAGCTGTGCAACACCGGTTCCCTCACCTCCCCCTGCAGATTTTAATTCCCCAGTGGTGTCCTTCTTGTGCTTTGTTCATTTAATGTTTTAACTCTCAGAAATACAAGCTATAGATGGTGCTCATTTTGATTGGTCTTCTTTTGGGGTCAAGAAGAAAGGGGGCACCCCAGACTTGACAGTAACATTGAGGTCTTCCCTGCCTGTCTTCTGAGCTCTGGGAATAAGTTGGCACTTGTGTTCTCCCAAACAATGATGCCTTTTTAATATCTTCTCATCCTTTCTACTCACTTTGGTGCTCCAGCATTCATCCTCAAGCACCACTTATAAATTCCATAGATCTGTGATTCTTGACCTCGGCCACTTGAAGATGTGTGAACTTCAACTCCCAGAATTCCCCAGCTAGATTGCAGGCTGGGGAATTCTGGGAATTGAAATCCACACATCTTCAAATGGCTGAGGTTGCAAAACACTGTCATAGGTCACAACAAAGCCAGAAATGTGAAAAACAAGAATCAGATATTGAAGATGTCTTTTGAAGGAGTTGGTCTCCGTTGTCCCAGAGAAAAAGCCAATCCGTTTCTTTCTGTTTAGTCACTTATTCTCTTTCTATGTGCCTTTTTATTCTAGCAAATAGCCCTGGCTACTAATGAAATATGCAAAATCTCCCATAGAATGTAAAATGTTGAAAACGTAAATGTACTTTGCTATTCCTCCGAATTGACAATTGATATTCATCATTAAAGAGAATGCAGAGGAATTGAGTCTCTATTTCCTAAAGGATAACTCATTACACCACAATGCCACATGAAAAGCACCAGAAGGCAGGACAAGAAGTAGCAGTAGAAGATCATTAAAGAGAGATCCAGCCTAGAACAAAGAAATTTCCTGACAGTGACAACAATTAACCCGTGGAACGGCTTGCCTCTGGAAGTTGTGGGTGCTCCATCAATGGAGGTTTTTAAGAGATTGGACAACCATTTGTCTGAAATAATATAGAGTTTCCTGCTTGATCAAGGGGTTGGACTAGAACAGCAGCCCCCAACCTTTTGGGCACCAGGCACCAGTTCCATGGAGAGAGATTTTTCCACGGAATGGAGGAGACGTGCTTTCATGTGCTGCCTGCATCCCATGGATGGGGCTCGGCTTGTTTATGCGTCCCAATTTCTGGCATGCCGTGGACTGGTGCCGGTCCATGGACTGGGGATTGGGGACTCCTGGACTAGAAGACCTCCTGGGTCCCTTCCAATTCTATTATTCTGTTAAAAAGTCATTATACATAGGAAAAATTACCATATATAAGGAGTATATCAGATTATATATTACTATTAAGGTAAATCATAAAACCATACCACATTTGATAAAATTGTGGTTCATTAGAATGGCAACTTGCATCTCTGAATCGATCTTAAGCAAGAGGCAATATCATGAGCCATGGTGGTGAAGTGGTTAGAATGCAACACTGCAGGCTAACTCACTGCTCATTCCAGGAGTTGATTCTGAGTAGCTCACGGTTGACTCAGCCTTCCATCCTTCTGAGGTCGGGATGAGGACCCAGATTGTTGGGGTCAAGATGCTGACTCTTTAAACTGCTTAGAGAGGGCTGTAAAGCACTGTGAAGTGGTATATAAATGAGAGAAAAAGAATTATTCCTGTAAAGAATATAGCCTAAGTGACTCCATATTTACCCTTTATATAACCTGAGCTAACCCTCAGCTATTAAGCTGAGTAAGATATATAGAAAAGGGAAATATGTATGATGCCTGTTTTAAGGAAGCAGATGTTTTGGTACATTCCAAGTTTGGTCAGGCTGACCCAAGCTCCATTGAAATAGGAGGAAAAGACTAAGTGTCCAATTAATAAGAACAATAACAAACAATTATGAATATATTTTCATATATATATATATATATATAAAACCGAATCAAACAATCGTCTGAAACTGTATTTAAACCATGTAACCGGAGTGATAAGTGATAAGACCTTCCCTCCCTCCTTCCCTCCCTCCGTCTCTCTCTCTCTCTCTCTCTGTGTGTGTGTGTATTTGTTACAGTTTGTAAACGCTGTAAGGATTTTTGGAAGATTTTAAGCTGGGATTTTAACCAGAATTTTAAACATTTTAACTAACTTATTCAACATGACACGGGAAAACACCCAAGATTTTAATTTTTTACAGAATATGTGTGTGTGTGTGTGTGTTTTCTGAGGTTTTCGCGGGTGTTTGTATGTAGGTCTTTGGTTATTCGGGTTTTTTCCCGCGTAGAATTGGAAGTGTCTTGGCGACATTTCGACGAAGTCTCATTTGTCATCTTCAGGCTGGTGTTTTCGGCTTCGTGCTTCTAGGAGCAATGTGTGATCGCAGCTGTTTCTTCCTTTTAACTGCCAGTGGGGGTGTGAATTGATTGGGTGGGAGCTTGGCTGTGTTCTGATTGGGTGGAGGTGTGTTCTGATTGGTTGGGGGCTTGGCTGTGCTCTGATTGGATGGGGGCTTGGCTGTGCTCTGATTGGATGGGGGTGTGTTCTGTTTAGGTAGGGGCTTGGTTGTGCTCATTTATTCACAGCATGAATAAACGAGATGATACCTCCCGCCTACCAGCCATTTGGAAACCCGCCCTTATTAACAAATGAGTCCCTAACACTAAGAGTGACACCAGACCCACACTTACAAAAACATAGGATGTCACAACCACACATCCACGCAAAAAACAAACCCAAATCCACACCGATGAGGCATGACCACAAACCAGAAGCCAGACCACAGCTGCATCATTAGCCACTTTAAACCCCTCCAATCCATACATGAAGCAAACTGACACCCACCATGAAGATGTGGCATGACCACGAACGCGAAGCCAAACATCAGCAATGCAGCTCACCAGCTCAAATCCCCCTGCAACTCAGACTAAACTGAGCACAACCAAGCCCCTACCTAAACAGAACACACCCCATCCAATCAGAGCACAGCCAATCCCCCATCCAATCAGAGCACAGCCAAGCCCCCAACCAATCAGAACACACCTCCACCCAATCCAAACACAGCCAAGCTCCCACCCAATCAGTTCACACCCCCACTGGCAGTTAAAAGGAAGAAACAGATGTGATCACATGTTGCTCCTAGAAGAACGAAGCCGAAAACATCAGCCTGAAGATGAATAATGAGACTTCGTCGAAACGTCGCCAAGACACTTCCAATTCTACGCGGGAGAAAACCCGAATAATCAAAGACCTACATATATCTATATCTATATCTATATCTATATATCTATATCTATATCTATATCTATATCTCTATAATAAATCTGCTTTTTACTTGTTCATGGTCTCTGTTTCACTTTTTATGAGGTTTGCTGTTTTTTTTTTAAATCTCACATAAGTCTAAATGCTAGTGCTAGTCAGAGGTGGGTTTCAGCAGGTTCTGACCAGTTCTGGAGAATTGGTAGTGGAAATTTTGAGTAGTTCAGAGAACCGGTAAATACCACTTCTGACTGGCCCCGCCCCCATCTATTCTTTGCCTCCCGAGTCCCAGCTGATCAGGAAGAAATGGGGATTTTGTAGTAATCTTCCCCTGGAGTGGGGAGGGAATGGAGATTTTGCAGTATCCTTCCCCTACCACGCCCACAGAACTGGTAGTAAAAAAATTTGAATCCCACCACTGGCACTAGTGCTATGAAAGCCAATAGACTTATTGATTCTCCTTGCTAGGGAGAACATTCAACACCTCTTTTTCAAGGTCCCTTCATGCCCTACGATTCTGTTCAATGCCAGAGAGATGGCTTAAAGGAGCATTGGGCAAAACAGAGACAGCCTTCTCCTGCAGATAGAAGGAAGGTGATCTCTGCAGGAAGAGCCTTGATAGTACAGTGGTTTACACACCCTGTTATTAACACAGCTGCCTGCAATTTACTGCTGGTTCGAATCTCTCCAAGGCTCAAGGTTGACTCAGCCTTCCATCCTTTCTAAGGTAGGTAAAATGAGAACCCAGTTTGTGGGGGCAATAAGCTGACTTTGTATAAATATACAAAAGTATGAAGGCTATTGCTTAACGCATTGTAAGCCGCCCTGAGTCTCCGGAGAAGGGCGGCACATAAATCAAATTTAAAAAAAATTAAAAAAAAAATCTTCATAGCAACAGAAGGGGCTGCAAGGAAATGGAGAAAAGGCCTGTCATCCCTCCAATGCAGATCAAACTTAAGAACCAAATGGATGCCAAATAATTACACTTTTATTATTTATTATGGTTACAGTAACAAAAGTCCAATTTTTTTTCCTCTCTCCCTGTATCTTCAGAAAAGGAGAATCGCGTCCAAGATACTTTCTCAACTTAATTTTTTTTTTTTTGTCGAAACTCGATTAATTTTCTCTTACTGTTGCCTTGGTTACCGCTCTTCCCTCAGGCCCTCTAGGTCTAAGTTATTTCTACTGCCCATATGGGCTGTCAGAAGCTTGACCCAAGCAAGGTTTTCACCTGGGGACTTTTGTTAGGACCCTCAGCAAAAAGGTGCCTTGGTGGAACCACGCCCCCTTCCCCTCAGGGAGCGGGGCCTCCGGAGACAGGTGAAACTCGACGGCTTTGGGTGGGCAGGTCGCGGAAGGCAGCGGAGCAGCCCCTCGGGGGCAAGCGTCGCGTGAGAAGGCGCGCACAGCCAGAGGGGCGCGCCGGCAGATCGGCCTTCCCCGGCCTGGGAGGAGCCGGGCCGTCGGAGCGCCTCGGCGGCCGGCGCAGGTGTCCCTCCTCCTCTTCCTCCTCCCTTCTCCCCTCACTCTGGAAACTCCGCCGCGGCTGGGAAGCCGCCGCCCCCGCCCCACCGCCCCCGCGTTTCTTCTTGGGAAGGGGCGGGGGCGCCTCCGCGCCGTTATATCTGTCCCCTGAGGCCGAGGAAGAGGAGGAGGAGGAGGAGTGCGCGGTGGTCCCGGAGGAGCTGCAGCTGTGCCCGAGCGGCCCGTGGCGATAGCGCGCCCGCCTGGCGGAGGAGAGGCGAGAGACAGCCCGAGCCGCTTGGCTCTCCGGGAAGGGCGCGGAGTAAGAGGAGGCGGCGGCTGGTCGGAGAGAGACGCGCCGCTTGGCTTTGCCTGAGCAGGTGAGCGGACGCAGCCTCTGCCTTTCCCTCTTTCGCTTTCCTGCCTTTCCTCTTCTGTCCTTCCTCTCTGCTTTCTTCCTCTCGCCTTCCTTTCTTGTTTCTTCCTCTTTTTCTCTTTTCTTGGTTCTTTTCTCCCTTTCTTTCCTTCCTCCCTCTCTCTCCCCCTCTTTTTCCTCCTTTCCTCTCTCTTTCTCTCCCTTCTTCTGCCCATCCTTCCTTCCTTCTTTCTTTCTCTCTCTCTCCATCCTTCTTTTCTTTTTCTGTTTCCTTCCTCCCTCTGTCCTTTTTTTTTTTTTTTTCTTACTTCATGATTCAATTCCTCAGCCAGCATGAGGAGGTTAGAGATGAACTGGTGGTGTAGTAGGAAGGTTATGGACTAGGGCAGTGTTTCTCAACCTTGGTAGCTTGAAGATGGGTGGACTTCAATTCCCAGAATCCCCCAGCCAGCAGCGCTGGCTGGGGGATTCTGGGAGTTGAAGTCCACCCATCTTCAAGCTTCCAAGGTTGAGAAACACTGGACTAGGGAGACTTACTTTCCTTCCTTCCTTCCTTCCTTCCTTCCTTCCTTCCTTCCTTCCTTCCTTCCTTCCTTCTGCCCATTCATCCTTTTTTTCTCTTTCTCTCTCTCTCCCCTTCTCTCTTGTTATAGTTCACCAATGAGCACAACTAAAGTAGCTGAGAAGACTGCAGAAAATTAGTCAAAATTGCTGACTTCCATAAACCCACCCACCCCACTCCCACAGAAGAGAGAGAGTGACTTGTACTGCTTTTAAACCAGGGAGAGGATTGCTGGGGAATCAGTCGTGATTCTAAGGAAGAAATCCAGGCTTTCGAGAGAAAACTTTCACCTTAGATAAATTTTGGATTAAAAATCGTTATTGAATTGGCGGCAGGTCATTTAATTTTGAAAAACTGGATTCATACCCTCTGATGATGAGGAGGTAAAATTAGTTGGGTGGATTCACAGGACTTGGTAAGCCACACATTGAACCACTATTCCCCACTCAGAGCAAAGGGATTGGGGCCAGTTGGTAGTTACTGGAGTTAGTAACCCAGTCTTATTTGTGATCCCAGACTCAGCATGCAATAAATTTGCACATTATGTTCAACCAGAATATGGTTTTTTTGTGTGTGACTTTAATTTAGCTCCTCTCATGAATGAGTACACAATCTCCTGCCTGTTTGTTCTAATTAATATCTAGTGAGTCTCCTTAGGTTCACTTCTGGGTATGTGTGCTTAGGACTGTTTTCAAAAATCAGGCAGTTGATAGTATTTTTTCCAACTAACACATTTTATTAAAAGGCTGCAACCTGACCAAAGCAGATAGCAATAGTACTTGGATTTATATACCGCTTCACAGTGCTTTACAGCCCTCTCTAAGCGGTTTACAGAGTCCGCCTATTGCCCCCAACAATCACCTCGGAAGGATGGAAGGCTGAGTCAACCTTGAACCTGGTGAGGTTCGAATTGCCGAACTGCAGCTGGCAGTCAGCAGAAGTAGCCTGCAGTACTGCACTCTAACCACTGTGCCACCACAGATGCCTTTTAATTAAGTTTGTTAGTCAGAAAAGCTGCTAGCAGACTCCTGATTTTTTGACTGCCAGAGACTACAGGTCTCTGTACAGGTCAATTTATGACAATTCATTTAGCGACCGTTAAAAGTTACAACAGCACCGAAACAAGTGACATGACCAGTTTTCACAGTTATGACCTTTGAAGCATCCCTATGATCATGTGATCAAAATTCAGATGCTTGGTAACTGGTTCATATTTATGATGGTTGCTGTGTGCCAAAGTCGTTTTGTGATCTTCTGAGAAGCAAAGTCAAAGGGGAAGCCAGATTTATTTAACAACTAGGTTACTAATTTATCAACTGCAGTGATTCACTTATTAACTGGCAAGAAAGGTAATAAAATGGGGCAAAACTCACTTAAGAAATGTCTCACTTAACAATAGAAATTTTGGGGTCAATTGTAGTCTTAAATCAAGGACTACCTGTAACACGGAGAAACAGGATGGAAAGTATCAAAATGCAGTCTTGTGCACACCCCAGTGTGAGCAAACTGGACTTCAGGGTAGACACATGTACTAGAATCACCTTTGCTGTCACTAAGGTATTGCACAATTTTATATTCCTTTGGATGAAATTGTTGGTAAACTCATAAATATTGGAATTTACTTTTTTAAAAAAATCTATGTATCTATTCCAAATTTTTCTGAGGGGCAGGGCCAAAATATGCCAGAGATAGAAAAAATCTCTGCCTCCTAGAACAACAGAGACACACAGATGTAGCAAAATCTTTTTTGAGTCCATCCTACACATTATTTTCCCATGATAAATCCTTTCATTTAAAAAATGCAACTTGAGTTTCCCTGGGCTTCGTGCCACATAAAACCGTAGCTTCATTAACCATGATTTGTTGAGTAAGCCAAATGGGTTGGATTGACCTAAAGTGCTAAAAACCCTAATTTAACCAGACCATAGTGGTTGGGTTCACAAACCACATCAGAACAAAAGCAAAGCATATTGTGGTTTAGCACAGTGTGTGAACATTATCTGTGGTTTGCATGTTTTCTTAAAGCAGATCAGGTTTTAGATGGTTCAATTTCAAAGTTTGGCCGAAATATACTGAAGTCATAATAATGTAAGCATATTGCCAATCAATATTTTGCTTATTTTTTCCCCAATCAACCTACTTATATAGAGCTGAGAGCCCTTTTTCATCTTCCTCATGCTTGGTAACTTCTTTCAGTTCTTCCCATCAAACAAACAAAAACTATTACCGTGTTCTTCCTTCTAATCTATTCAGGATGCCATTCCTCCAATCGTTGATGCTTAGATATAAAGAGAAAAGGTTATTTCTGCATTTCATTCCGAACCATAGTCTCCTCTAATATTGTTTTGTATAGTACACAGATAAGCTTTATAATTATAATTATAATTATAATTATAATTATATAAAAGATTCAGTTTTTGGATTGAAAGCTAATTTAGATTAAAGGTCTGTTTTTTCAGAAAGTTGAATAAATTGGATGGGTAGAGAGCAGCAAAGAGTTGAGGGACTCTGGTAATGTAGGGTTTCATAGTGGAAGGTATTTTGGGGATGAGTGGGCTATGATTCAGTCTTGACTCTAGCAACTGCTAGGACAAGTCCCTGCAGTTTTCTTGGCAACATTTTTCAAAGTGGTTTGCCCTTGCCTTCCCTTTCCTGGGGCTCAGAAAGGAACTGGCCCCAAATCACCCAGCTGGCTTCATGTCTAAGGCAGAACTAGAATTTGGTTGTAGCCTGGTACCTATAACAACCATACCAAGCTAGCATTCATTTCCTTCAAATCAGTCTGGACTCTTGGACTACTTGGACAAGAATCTGTATTTTCTTGGCAACATTTTTTGAAATGTTTTTTCCCAGTGTTCTTCCTAGGGTTGGAAGAGAGAGATTAGCTTAAAGTTCCCCAGATACGGTTTCATGCCCAAGGCAGGACTAGAACTCATCCTCTCCCAGTTTTAGTTTGCTGCTTTCATCACTATATCAAATTGCTCTTTGTGGTAAAGGTAGGAGTACTTTTTCTTATTTCTGTAGTGATTCACTTTCTTTGTTTATTTCTGTAGTCAGCTGGAGGTGATCACAAGTGATGTTCTCATGATGTTCCTTGCAGGTTCACAGCATTTATGATGGGCAAAAGTAAAGCACATCACAAATTAGTTTTAATCGGTCTTGGAGCAAAAGGAGAGAGCAATTTGATTTGGCCTAGTCCAAAAGTGCCTAGAATGAGCTGCCAAGTTTAGCAAACTTTGGTGCACAACTAAGGTAAAGCCTTTTTCATGGCAGCTTAGCCTTTGGTCCTGGACACGACCATGATGGTTTTCTTGCAACAGTGTAGAAGTTTTCACATGGTCTTTTTCTGGAGCATCTGCGTCAGGCCTATAACCCAATGTTTCTCTAACCTGGCAACTTTGACGTGTGGGCTTCATCTCCTAAAATTCTAAGGATTCTGGGAGTTAAAATCCACACCTCTTAAAGTTGCTAACTTTGAGTAACATTGCTGTAGCTTTGAGATGTCCTGGCACTCACCACCCTAATACTATATTAACCAGATCCTACTGGTTACTCAATTAAAGATCCAAGTCCAGCTAAAATGAATATTTTGGAGGGGTCTCCAAACTTGACAACTTTAAGACTTATGGACTTCAACTCCCAGGAGATTCTCAGTTATCCAGATTATAGTTGTCACAAAGGTGCTTTTTCAAAAAGCAACTGGACTGCATTTTTTTTCTTTGAGGAAGAATCATAGCTGGCTGGGGAATTCTAGGAATTGAAGTCCACAATCCTAAAGTTGCCAAAATTTGGAGACTCCTGTTCTAAACCTATTCTAAGTTAGAACTTAGAATATTGTGTGAACATTATGCATTCAAGAAATCACAGTTATAAGCTGTGGTTTGGTGTGACTTGTGAAACCGGCAGTGAATCAAAGCCTTTCATCCCCACAGGGGAAGCATCTCTCCTAAATCCTCCCCCCACTCCCATTGCTCAATCTTTGTTAAGAATTGCCAGTCTCACGGGGCTCAGCAGATGGATTGTGTTTGTGTAACCACCAGAGGAAAAAAAGTTGCCAACCACATTCCAGCCAAGCATATTTTACAGACTTAGTCCATGAGACCAGTTTATTTTATTTATTTATTAGATTTTGAAAGGGAGTGATGGGCCCAAACTCACCCAGCTGGCTTTCATGTGGGACTAGAATTCACAGTCTTCTGATGATTGGTGCAATGGGCTTTTGTGCCTAAGATAGGACTAGAACTCACAGTCTCCCAATTTCTAGGGTAGAACCACTGCACCAAAATGACTCTCATGGTCCAGCTTTTGTCAGTTCAGAAAACCTGCTGGAAAACTCTGCTTCTGGAGAGTTTTCAGATCATTAATTAGGCAAAATTTGCTTTGGGGTCAAAAGAAGATGCCAAATCTTAAACAGAGATTTTAGCCCACGGCTTGGATATTGG